TCTTTAGGTTCCCAAGAGACAGCCGTCCAGTAGCAGTGATTTACTTTTACTTTATCCAAATGTATGATGTTTTCCTTTTTTTCACTCAATTTACAGAATACTATTTCATTTGTTCATTATTCATATCAAAACCATAATATATCTGCATTTTCTTGATAATGAGTATCATTACATCAGATGTGACATTTTCCTTCAAGACAACAGATGGTACAGATGACATGTTTTTTTAAACTTTGCTGGCTTTAAAATCCCCTTGATTTTATTCGGTAAGGAGAGTTCATGTCCGTTTTTAGGGGTCTTAAATATGATACACGTCCTTTCTTCTAGTGAGACTGATTAAATGATATTGCTTTTGTCGATCTTATCATAGACGATTTTTTCATACACGGGCTGTCACAAATCTATTCATATAATGATGTATTGTTATTTATTCATTTTAGGTTCTTCTAGCGGTAGTTCAGGTGGTGTTATCATCAATGTACTGCCGAGTGGATTTGGTTATATCAGTGGCGGATCAGGGTTCAGTTCTGTCGGAGGTGGCGGATCCAGGGGAGGCGGTGGAAGGACACCTTATGGAATCAGTAGCGAACCAACTGTTTACAGCAACGGGCGCGTGGTTGGAATGAGCGGCAGTGGAAATGGTAAGATCTAGGAGGTTTTGACTTGCCTAATCAAATTCAATAAAAACAAGTGGACCCTATATCTACATCATAAATGATAATTGATTAACTTATTACACTGAATGCATAATTATCTTTGATTTCTTTTCACATTGCAGCGTATTGTCCTCTTTGTTTTACTTTGGTTTACATTGCAGCGTATTGTCCTTTTTGTTTTACTTGTTTTACATTGTAGCGTATTGTCCTCTTTATTTTATTTTGTTTTACATTGTAGCGTATTGTCCACTTTGTTTTATTTGTTTTACATTGTAGCGCATTGTCCTCTTTATTTAATTTGTTTTACATTGTAGCGTATTGTCCTCTTTGTTTGTTTTATTTTGCTTTACATTGTAGCGTACTGCCCTCCAATGAGACATGACTGTCATCCATCTTGTATCAAATATGACGATCCTCACTGTAGGCGGTGTATATGTTTGAGGTAATCACGTGTGTGGGCGGTGCTTAATTTAAAGGTATTCACGTGTGTAGGTGTTGTTTACTTTAAAGGTAAACACGTGTGTAGGTGTTGTTTACATTAAAGGTTATCACGTGTGTAGGCGGTGTTTATGTTTAAGGTAATCACGTATGTAAGCGGTGCTTATACTAATGGTTACAACACATGTGTAGTCTGTGCTTATGTTAAAAGTAATAAAGTGTGTAAGCGGTGCTTATGTTTAAACGTTATCACATCGTAAGCGGTGTTGTCGTTAAATGTTATCAGGTGTGTTGGCTGTGATTTTGTTAAAGATAACTACAAATGTAGGAGGACCAAATATGAGAGAAGAACTTTTAGTACTAAATGCAATGTTTGGCTTGAAGATATCTGTAAAATAACGTTTGTTTGCTCTCTCTCTTCTGATGCAGGATAAAATAAGTTTCAGTAGGTAGGCTGGAAATCTGACAAACAGTCGCCTATAATAATCTTCTGACATACAATCACCCATAGTTCATCTTCTGACAAACAATCACCTATAAGTAATCTTCTGTCATTCAATTGCCTATATGAAATCTACTGACATACAACCGCTTATATGTAATCTTCTGACATACAATAGCCTATAAGTAATCTTCTGACATACAATCGCTCATAAGAAGTCTACTGACATACAATCGCCTATAAATAATCTTCTGACAAACAATCGCCTATAAGTAATCTTCTGACATACAATCACCTATAAGTAATATACTGACATACAGTCACCTATAAGTAATCTTCCGACTTACAATCACCGATCAGTAAAATCCTCTGATTTACTATCATCTATAAGTAATCTACTGATATACAATCACCTATAAGTAATCTCCTGATTTAACTGATTTACTATCACCTATAAGTAATCTACTGATTTACAGTCGCCTATAAGTAATCCTCTGATTTACTATCACCTATAAGTAATCTACTGATATACAATCGCCTATAAGTAATCTTCTGACATATGTAAGTGTACGTGTACGTCAATACGCAATCTTCCGACACACAATTGCCTATAAGAAACCTATAAGTATACCATAAGTAATCTAAAAGAAACTTTTACTCAATGTTTCAACTGAAAACAACAATTTTAATATAGAGACAGTTATGTGCTTAACTCTGTTAGAGAACAAAAAACATCTTGCAAATCTTCTTAACAAGTTTTTATATAAATGTATTTTGAATCAAAAATTCATGCTATATTAATTCTGGTCACTTTAAATATCTCCATAATTTTGAATATTAAAAAATATAACTAATGGCTGGACAATTCAATATCGATGATCCGGATTGTTACTTTATTTCCTGTCAAGACATCAGAATGACTTCTTGGTAATGGTATTTCATTACATTAAATTCATACTATAGCTTATAGAATGAAATTTTGTATTCCTTTATTTGAAAGTTCAAATGAACAAATTTTATCAGCACCTACATGTATCAATGAGTCGTGTTCACAATAGAAGTCTATATATGTAATTATTCTCAGCTATCACTGTGTGTTACCTTTTACATCTTGTGTAAACTGACATCTGGAAAAAAAACTCCTTCCATGGGATAGGGCCCTGAAGCTTCTTCAAAATATGACCTGATTTCATTTTACCGAATGTTTACAATTTAAATGAAAAAAAAAACCTTTTTGGCAGCCGATGAAGGTCAACAAACAAAATTATTTTATGAAAAACCAAATGAATTTAGCTTTTCAATTTTCAAAATCTTATCGACTTTTTTTTTAAAAATGAGTTCGGTGTTTCTGTAAAATCAATAAAAGACCGAGATCCGGAAAGGGGATGAAAATCTGTAAAAATTATTTACTAAGCAGAGTTTAGGTTGAACTAACATTAAATTTTACAAAATAAACCCATTGTCTGAATCTATACTTTAAAAATCTGATATTGTGTTTCTTTAGCCTGTCTTAATCTATGAACGACAATGAAGATCACCATGCATGATGTTTTATTTGTAACAAAAAGTAATCGTAACCTTTTCATAATAATATATCATTTCAGTTATAGTTTGATATATATACAAGTACAGTTTTTATATCAAAAATGAAAACTTTGTTGACAGAATTATGTTACAATTCCTGCAATAAAAAAAATCTATTATTATATAAAGAAAATAAATGAAGAAAAAAATGTCTTTCCTATACATGCATAGAGAAAGTAGAGAACCAACTAACATGGGATAATAATAAATGTTTACCATGTTATACAAATAAGATCTCTACAAGATATTCTCAAAATTTGTTTCAAAAACGTATCATATCTACAATATACACACTATGTTTTTTATTCTTTTTACATAATGCATAAATAAAGAAAAGGATACATACACAATGTGACTGAAACATTCCAAAACCTTTTTTATCTATTTATTTTGGGGAAACGCGTTCTTGAAGAATGTCTCTCGGTTTTTCTCTCATAAGCATTAGTAATTTATGAAAATTCAGTTTTCTGAACAAATGAGCCATAGCTGTCTCAATGCCAAGACGTAATTTATGTAATATATTCAAAGGATTTACCTTGATCATCTTTGATGTTTATAAAGTGTGAGTGTTCTTTTTAATAATACCAACAAACATTATGCACTGTAAACCAACTTTTATTGGCGGCCGACGTCCTTTCAATCCTCGGCTATGTTAAGGAAGGTCAGAGTTCACATTCCTTGCACATCGTATTGGAAGTTTAATTGTGACGTCATTGAAATTTAACAAGCTACAAAAATAATTAACGTCATGATCATGCGTAAATAACAACTTGAATTTATCTATTTTATTGATTATTCATAAATTCTTGTAAAATTGCAATACTTGATAGCGATACAGTCGAGTAATAGAAGAAAGCCTTTTGTCAAATATGACGTCATCAGCCTTGACATGACGCAGCACAAGTGATCCGGAGGAGTAAATTCACTGGTTTAATATATTACAAGAATGCTTAAATAAATATGATACCATTGCTAATTTTTAGACTTAATCATTAAAACTAAAAGAAAATAATTTATTAAATACAATGTGTATAGAATATGAATTTATCTAGTAGCATTGAAGCTGCACAGGGATAAGGAATATAGAGAATATCGCTAAAACGATGAGCGTATTCGTGATATACATCAAAAGTGCAAGGGCATAGACTATTTTGTTTGAGCTGAAATTTGGAATATTTATTGCTCATATAGTGTATTAATTTTATTTATAACAGAATTTAAGCGAAGTGGAAATTTTTAGCTATTATAAGCATTTTCGGCAAAATTTTAAGTACTTCGCAAACAGCACTGACTAGCTCCCAGCACTTTTTGGGTAGAGGATATAAACCTCTTTTAATGTGTATCAATTATTTTCTTGAAAAACAAGCGTATGCCCTTGCATTATCCACATTTCCGACATTCAGCTTAACAATTCTATTTTTATACAAGTCACGTGACAAACAGCTGATACGTGCGATATAACTGGTAATAACTACGGCCCAGTCCTATCCATTATTGATAGCTATATTACCTTTTCTACAAGTATTCAGTTGCTTTGTTAAAGTTTTTTAAAAGAAGCAATACATATTAAAACGGTGCAAAGGTCACATTTTCCATATCGGTCCTTAACATAGCTGAGTCGCGAATATTAATCGCCGCAAACAAATTATTTTGCTTTGAATCTGTAAAGAATGTTCTTTCAGTCGTGGAAATTAATCGTCGCGGAATAATTTGAAATTGACAAATAGCGAATAAAAGATGATGCAAATAATAGTTGGTTTATAGTATATCATTCAGACAAACAATTTACAATTTCAAGACCATTTCACAAGGAATTGAAGTTTGCCCCCTGGTAAAATTAAAAAAAAAAAGTTTTATATTCATTTTTTGCAAGCTGATTGCTATTCTGTCCATCTATAATTGTCGCTAATCACCAATGAATCTGAAAAATGATCGACCAAATATTCATACATCTCAATTTTACCACAACGACGGCATTGATGAATATTGCTTCATAATCATCCAGTAGGGTGTTGATGTCCATATTTTTCTCAATTAATAGTTCGATTATTTGAACAGTACCTCCCATAGCTGCAGCATGCAACACTGAGTTACCACAACTGTCCCCTATATCTAATAAATGGGGAAAGATCTCAACTAAAAACTCACAAATTTCAAACTTCCCACTGAGACAAGCTATATGAAGAATGCTTTTGCCATCATTTGACACGGCATTAAAGTCCAATCCATTCTCTAACAGAAAAATCAAAATTTCTATACTTCCTCCCCGGCAAACTGAATGTAACACTGTCCATCCCTTATTGTCCCTCATCTCCAATAACTCTGGATAATAATTGACCAAATAGTCACACATCTCCATTTTACCCAAACGACAGCATTGGTGTAAAATTGATTCACCGCCAACCTGTATGTCCATGTTACGAAATTTGTCCCTGACATCCAATAAATGGGGATAATTCTCTACTTAGAACTTACAAGTTTCGAACTTCCCATTTACACAAGCTATATTAAGAATACTCTGACCATCAATTGCCAAGGCATTTAAGTCTTAACCTTTTTTTATTAGAAAGGAAACAGCATCTACACTTCCTCCACTGCAAGCTGCATGTAACGCTGTCCATCCTCTATTGTCCCTTATCTCCACTAACTCATAGAAATTATTGACCAAATACTCACACATATCTATTTCCCCCGAACAACAACATAGATGTAAAATTGTTTCACCATCTTCCCGTTGGGCAATGATATCCATCTTTTTCTCAATCAATAGTTTTACTATTTGAACATTTCCTCCCCAGGCTGCATCATGCAACACTGTGTTATAAATTTTGTTCCTGACATTTAATACATCGGGATAATTTTCAACTAAGTATTCACAAACTTCAAACTTCCTATTAAAACAGGCCGTGTGCAGGATACTTCTACCATCATTTGACAAGGCATTGATGTCCATTCCTTTTTCTATAAAAAAGGAAATCATTTCTACACTTCCTCCTTTACAAGCTGAATGAAAAACTGTGCATCCCTTATTGTCTCTAACTGATTTTAAACCTGGATACATATTTACAAGATACTTACACATTTTCTCTCTACCAAAAGCACAACAAATTTTTAACACAGTCATCCCAGTATTTGTCGTATCATTGACATCAAACCCTTTACTTAAAAGATACTTCAAAAGAGCTATGTTGCCTCCGAGAGCTGTGTAATGGAAAACATTTGCACCATTATTATCTCTAACATTCAGTAATTGTGGGTATCTGCACAACAGATATTTACACATATCATAATATCCATTTTTGCATGCAGCGTGCAGTATAGATCGACCTGAGTTATCTGCTTTATCTCCCTTTGGTATATTGTCACTTGAGATATTTAATATATTTTCATATTCAAAAAGGTTAAGCATATATTCAATCATATCTATTCTTCCACTGAAAGCTGCCCAATACAAAAGACTTTTTCCTAGAACATCTGTGTGTTCCTGAAGTAATGCAGGATACTTCTCAATAAGATATTTCACCATGTCTGTCCTTCCATCCTGACAAGCGCACGTAAGAACCGTGTGTCCATTGTCTCGATCTTTTTCATATGGATCACAGCCAAACTTAACCAGAAGGTTAAATGTGCATTTGTCCCCAGAACTTGCTACGGAATGTAATACATTGGCACCCTGACTATCCTTTATGTCTAAAAGGAAGGGATATTTTTGTAATATTTTTTCAACAAAATGGGTTTGTCTCATCAGACAGATCTCCTGAAGTAAACTGTGTTTGATATTTTTCCATAAAGGATGCAAGGAAGAGCTGATTTGTTGAAGATCTACAGACGCACAAACTTGAAACAATATATCTAAATTCCCACTCTGCACGGAATAAAAACATGTTTTAAGATCATATTTTACCCCAGAGTTTAAAAAGAGTTGAACGATGTCTGCTTGATTGTTTGAGCAAGCAGCATTAAGTGATCTATATCTTTGTCTTTCGTCTGAACTAGGCAGTAGATAACTCACCCATCGTGCATTTCCTGCTTTTGAAAAGTGAACCATCACTGAAGCTCCGTGAATATCATGACATGTTTTAAATCTCAACATGCATACTTGCATTCCCAACATGAACTGATGAAAGTTATAATCATTCCATAATTCTAGCAAAGATATGGAGGTGTAGCCTGCTACAGACTTTTCTTCAATGATTTTCTCAACACGAAGAGCAACGTCATAAAATAAATCATGTCCTATGATAACTTGTGTGCTATTTGAATTTTCACGTGTTGTAAGCAGTAACAGTAAGGGATGATGACAGTGTTTTATCATGCTTTTGGGATCAAAATAAAACAGAACCTTGAATAGAGATTCATGAACTGAGCTATGGGCAAACGTAATAGTATTTCTAATTATGTCTCGATTAGTCAAAAATCCATCAAAACAATTAATACTGCTCTGCATTTTGTTTATACAAGGAATGGGGAGACCAATAAATTCTAAAGAGACACGTTTCATTGGTAAATCCAAATGGGCATTGGTTATCAACTCTAATTCAACTTCCCCTCCGCTTAGAAGAATGTACACGAGAACAGCGACTTCTGGAGTTGGGTTATCGATAAGCTTAGTGAGATAGTCTCTGAGAAATGTTGCAGGACTTCGAAGAAAAGCCGATATATCGCTTTCGATTTGTGCCTTTTTTGCAAATTTACAACATTGTGGAAATCCTATCGAAATAGGCATTTCAGAAACTTTACTTATTATGTCGGTTTTCCTCATGTTCTTACATAAATCATACTTATTGATAAACTGAATTACTTCTTCCTCTTGCAAAGCATATATTTTATCTGATAGGTCAACCATTGATGATTGAAGAAAAATATCATCGTTTCCTTTACTGACATAGTCCTGGTAAATATCATTTCTTATTGTAAATAAAAGAATGTTTGATTTACTACTATGATCACTTTCAATCAAAACTTTGACCATATCAGCCGTAGCTTTGAACTCTTGAACAGCATTACTAGACAAATAAAATTCTCCAAAAATATTATCAATAAACCCCACTATGCTATCAGTTGTTGAAATGGTTTTATACAAATCTGTAAACTCGTAAAGTTGTAGAGGGGATTTTCCTTCCTCCATCAATTCTTTCATTAAGATCTTGGCGATAGTGGTTTTTCCAGTTCCAGGGTTCCCTTTGATGACAATGTAACGGTTACTATTGATCAGTTCCTTTGCCCTGTTTAAGGCATGAGTTTTTATAAAAAGATGGCTGATATCTTCAAAATGCCTTGTTATCATTGTCTTGGTTGTTTCTAAAACAGGAGAGAAGATTAAAAATCTTAGTTGATTTTGTTTTAAAATCGTTAGGAAAACCAGCAATCTGAAAGCAGGAAAACTGTTTCAAATAGATAGAGCTGTTTAATCAATAATAGAAAGTCGAATATTTCCATTCATAAGTTAACAGAAAGGCATGTAAGATTTATAGCTGTAGACCAATACTGCGATAAATTAGTGTATAAAAGGTAAAGGCGTTTTTATCAGAAGAAAAACAAAGCAAATTGTTGTTCTTTACTCTTATGATATAATTGTTTCTCGTATTCTCGTATCTCTTATGTTTAAAAGATAATGAAAATTTTACAGATTCAAGAAAAGTGGGTAGCAAAGGAATTGTATTAGCTGTAAATTTAGTTGTCTTATTTTAGTAACATTTTCATGTCAAGGCCATTGCCTTTTTTTCCTTTATATTCCATACATAAGAACGTACTCTCCAACATCAATTGATTCTGAATTCTATTTGAAATATAATATGCATAATATGTATAACTAAATTCCACTAACCTTATTTTTATTTTACGAATTTTAACTTTTTAAAGCCGAATTTACTTATAATTCCTATTCAAGCAAACAAGATTATTGACATTTATTATATGTCATTGAGCAGTAAGGATTCTGTAAATGAATTGAATTGTTTAGCTCGCTTATAAAGACATTTCATTCTCATTTTAAAAGGACTAAGCGCTTAGTAAAGGTCATCCTCTCCATTTTTGTCTCCTGAAGAAAGCAGACCGTCGATAAGGGATCAGTTTCCCCGGTGTCTGTTTGTTCGTATGTCTATCTATCTGTCTGCCACTCTGAAATCTTTAGATCTGTATCTAATGTAGTAAAGATTTTGCACCTATATTTCTTACACAATGATTTCTCTCACTTCGTCATCTTTGATCTTGACATAAGACCAACATTTCCGAATATTTCTTATTACCATTTAAGGAAAATGTTTGGCATTTTTTAGGTAAATTTATGCAAGTTTACATTTTTTTTCATCAACATACCGATCATTCTTGCAACTCTTGGATCTAAAGTAAAAAAATAAAAGCATTGTAAAAATAAGAGACATTTTCTTGTGAAATGATAACATTAAGAGGGAAAATATATATACACATTCGTTTACTGCAATATCGTATTTCATTTCCTTAAATTACTTTATACTTTTACAGATCACCTTTAAGTTCATAAAAGAGCTTTAGGAGAGAAAACATTTTATTTGTCTTGATTTTTAACAACTCAAATGTGTACTTTCTAAATGCAAAAAAAGGTGGGACGATAATTTATGCATATTAATTTGTTTTTTGTAACAATATTTTGTATTAATTTATATTTATTGCTTGGAAAGCTCTTAATAAAATATGCAATTCAATGTAAGTGCAAACATATCATTTTTACTGTTCCTCAGTAAAATTCTAACTCTCCAAAATTCTCTTTGAACAACTTTAAGTCTTTGTTATGGGTTTCTATCTGAGTATATTTTTCAAAACATTAGCATGCTATAACTTACCATGATGCATCACTACCTCTACAAAAAATTAAAATATCTGAATTCTTAAAGTGATACTGATTTTAGATATCAATTATGATGCATTTTAACATCACTTTTAGAAAAGAGTCTTGAAACAAATTTGATGCCGTTCACTTATGTCTTTCATAATACAAGGGTCTACTTACCTTTGAGATTCTGCACAGTTGTATGGAGCTCCTTCATATCTCCAAGTAAGTCTGTGTACTTTTTCTCTACTTCTGGGTCCATGGAGCAAGTTTTTATCATGTTGACTGCATCTTGGTAAATCATGGTTGTTCCTAGATGTCACTCTAGCTCAACCACAATGTCCCGGATGTTTCGCCATTCCTGTCTAAATTCTGAATCGGATAGAGACAAATCAGCTGAATGTCCCTAATACTGGTTCCTTAAAAGGCGAATTTTTTCAATGTTCGCGGACACGCTTCTTTCCCCGGGATCAGGAATCTCTCCCCAGCCTTTGGAATGTGGTGTTATCTTACTCACCTTGCGTAGAAGTAAATACAATAGGGATATGTCTAAGTCTGAATAATCGCCACTGTACTGTTTTATGGTTTTGGGAAATAATCTCTGATTGTGTTTTGTTGAGTGGATTTCTTTGTCCATGTAGAAGTTTGTCTGTAAATTCTTTAACCTTTCTCGATAAATCAGAAGGTTTCACTTCTGTTTTTAGAATACCACGTAACACATCAGTACATGGACCCAGTATAAGCCTCGCCAGTCGAGCAGTGTTTGTTGTTTCTGGTGTAGAGGTATAGCACTTGGATAAAGACATAATGCAGTTTGTATCAAAACGTTTAACAAATTATGTGTTGTTGCACTATCTTTAGTCCACAAAAGCATTACAACCTTTAAAAAAGAAATGAAAGCTTATAATTTTTTAATGATTAGATTATAAAACCATATCATTATTTTCCAAAGCACATATTTTTATATATTCAAATTTATTACAGATTGGCATGTACCCGTCGATTTTCTGAGTTACTGTGTGATATTTATGTTTACGATATTATGTTTACTGTTTTAGCAAGTGCTAATTTATCATTTTGATAAGTTTGAAAATCTTGTGACAAAGACTTTAACGACATAGGTTCTACGTAAAGTCAATCAATAATCTCATCTTGAACTTTGTTTTACCACAATGTTTACAATCTGTGTAGACTTCACTATTATGCGAAGGATTAGTATTTCAAGTTTCAACCTAGCGGTGATGCACGATAATATAAAAATCAAGTTAAAGAAAACATTTTTAAAAAGTTACTTTAAATTAACGTATATTTCTTTTTTTAAGAGATGCAGGTAAAAAAAAACAACGAATGATTTAAGCTTCCACTGCTATCACGTTTTGCTACCCTCGTCCAGATTTTGCTTATATTCAAAGTAACCATGTATTTTATACATATATTGGTCCCGCTCTCTCATTTTATGATACTTTTAATGCATAGATAATGGACTAACAATTGGTATTAAAAACGTCAGTCAGTATTTGACTCAATGATAAATTGTATTTGGCGACAAGGGCATTGTATCGACCATAGAATTTACGAAATGATACACTTTAAACGAGACGGCTGATATTTTTGTTTCATCAACTTGCTTAATAATAACCTCGTTTAAGAAATTGTACATACGTAGAGCATTCTCTTGTGTATCGAATCAACTGAAATATATATATACTCCGTATGCAGGTGATGAAGGTATATTGCTATATAAGTAACTGAAGTTGACAATAGAAAAGTAAAAGTCATCACGTTTATCATATAGCTTGGTTGCTAGATTACCATTTGTGTCTTTTTCAATTTTTCTATTTGTGATAACTTCTTTTATTAAGCATTAAATATTTTATTTAAAATGTTTAACGCTTATTTGTTATTTTTGGACGAGAATAAATATTTTCGTAATACTATAGTTTCGCAAGAATCTGTTGTTTTACAGATTTCGCAGGTACGATAAGGCTTCCAGAGAATATTGTAGTGTAGTCTGTGCAAGCACTTTTCTGAACTACAAATTTATGACGTCATAATTGAAAATGACGTCAAGGCACTGCATAGTTGAGCTGTAATGATGGGGAGAGTGTTATAAACTTTACATCTTATTTCAATCTGCATATAAGGATACAAAATGCTAGTTTAATCTAACCGTGTTTTTATCATTTTTTTTCAAATCTAATATATCTGAATAATTTAGATAACTTTGCTTTATTACTCTTGTTTAAGAGTTAGCGTGTTCAAACTACGTACGAAAATATATGTTTGACATTTACCCTATTTTATACCCATGAACAGAGGCAAAATTCATAATATGTGTATAAAAGAGTCTGGCGCAGGTCATTAATGAGGATTTTGTGAGAATATGTAAGAGGAGCTTTCCTTCTAACTGAATCCTGCTTGGGAAAAATGTATGATTGCTTTGATTTAAAACAGATGACGATATTCAGCGGAAAATACCCTCAGATTTGTCGGTAAGTTGAAGTTAATGTGAAATATTTTGTACCAAAGAAATAGTATAACTTTTCCCAAGCACATTTTGGGTTCACAGGGATGCAAAGAGTTTATTTATGTGACAAAAAGTAATAATAAGTCTGTAAATAACCTGTGCCAGAGCGATTTATGTGAAACATTCCCCCCCCAAAAAAGAAGAAATGTCCGTCACGTGATCGACAAGGTCATGTTCTATCGTAACAAATGTGTTTATATATAGCCTAGAAAACTCTCTATATGATTTGGGTGTTCTTAAGTACATAACTTAAAAATAAAACTAAAAATCAACTTTGCAATGTAGTGTTACATTTTAAGCTTCGGGAAGCCTCAACAGTACTGCGTTATACAATCATAAAATATTTTTAGATTGATGTTTTGAAACACATTCAACACCCATTGATTTTCAGAGTATATACTACTACATTGTAAATCTGAATCAAACTTTTTTAACCAAGCTATCATTTTACAAATTCGATATGAAACATTTCTCAATTCAGCGCTGATTGAACAAGAGTAAAAAATACAACATTTACATTGAAATTGGCACTTACATTTTACGGAATCACGATATTCAGAGATTATTAAACAAAAGATTTAACAAGAGGCCCATGGGCCTTATAGGTCACCTGAGCATTATTCAACAACTTTCCATTGGTTGAATTTGATCAATGTTTTAAGCAAGATGCTATAGCATTTACAATTTGGTCATCATAACTATACACTTAGCAGTTCCTTTGTTTGGTTATTTAATACCCATAGGCAGGGTAGGGGAACAAAAAATGCATTTCAACAAATCAGTAATATTCAGCAATAATGAGTAGTGCGGCTACCACACATAAACCCTTGACTCTTAGGCCTAGATCCACACATTGAACAATTTTTGGAAAGGCATTCATGCTTTTCAAAAATATTTGATTAATACCAAGAAGAACATTTCAAACAATTAATTCATTTTCAGTATATAAGTACAGCCCCCCCCCACCCCCTCTATGGTACAACTGACCGTGGGGCCTTGAAATTTACAATTCTTGAAGATTAGGGACCTTGTTCATAACTATATAGCTAGGTTCATCTGCTTAAAACCTATGTGCAAAGAAGAAAATATTCAAAGATTTAATGTTTTTTTCACTATACATGTATAATCAATATAGCCCCCCCCCTAACACCAGAACCCCTGGTAGAGGCACTCTTGCTCATCATAACTATGTACTTAGCTTATATAAAATCTAGGAGCAGGGAAGAAGATTTTCAAAGAATTCATGTATTTTCACTATATCATCAATAGAGCCCCGCCCTAACACCAGAACCCCTGATCCTGGGGCCATAATATTCACAATTTTGGTAGAGGCACTCATAACTATGTACTTAGTTAGTTTATTTAATTTAATACCCAGGAGCAAAAGAAGAAGATTTTCAAAGAATTTATGTATTTTCTCTATATAATCAATAGAACCCCACCTTAACACAAGAACCCCTGACCCTGGGGCCATAAAATTCACAATTTTGGTAGAGGCACTCTTGCTCATCATAATTATGTACTTAATTAGTTTATTTAATACCCAGGAGCAGAGAAAAAGATTTTCAAAGAAATAATGCATTTTTACTATATACTTATTTAGCCCCACCTTAGCACAAGTACCCCTGACCCCAGGGCCATGAATTTCACAATTTTGGTAAAGGACTCAATGTTAATTACAATCATGCACACGTTTGACTGCTTGATGTCCTGGAGTAAAGAAGAAGATTTTTAAAGATTGCATTAATTTTAGTAGTTTTGGCCCCATCCCCCCAGGCCCCAGGGGGGCAGGGATCATGAAATTCACAATTGTTGTTCCCCTTTACCCATAGATGCTTTGTTCCAAATTTGGTTGAAATTGGTTCAGTGGTTGCAGAGAAGAAGCTGAAAATGATCAAATGTTAACACACGACGAACGACGAACGACGCACGACGCACGACGACGGACGAAAACAGATGGCAATAGGTCACCTGAGTTTACTCAGGTGACCTAAAAACAGACCTTAAAATTAATTTATTCACATGGTTTTATCTGTATTCTAGTCAAGGAGCTTTATGCGCAAAGACCTAATTTTTTTTTTGTCAATTTAGAGTCAACATTGTTGCGAATACCGATAACAATAAAACAAAGGATTTTTCGGGACACCTTTTGTTCATTCAAATTAAGAGCTTTGCTTCTTGATAACATTTATCTGAATTATCAAATTGCTGAATGAATACTGGCAAGATTTCAAATGATATATGTTTCATTTTCTTTATGAAACATCTTTTAGTATTTGTACCTTATTATTCCTGTTATGATTCATCGAACATCATGGTCACATATTCGAATTTTTAGGGATAGCAATCAAATACAACAGGTATAATAAAAATGTTAGAGAAAAGAATTAAGTTCATGACACTTCTCCAAAGATCTTGTTACAAATGTACATGAAACAGTTAGAAATGTCCATTTGAGTGAAAAATTCTCGAGAGGGACATTAAACAATACACAATATATATGCTTAGAAATGCTTTCACACAAGTTCAATCTCCTTTGTCTGAAATATTACTCCTTTTGTTATGTTTGTTTCATAATAAAATTTGATACGTTGCCGGAATGGATAAAATAGATGCATGTAAACATTATTATAATAATCAGTTCTCAGTACTCAAAGATTTTTTACATCGAATTCCTACAGAAACAAAGGATACTTGGGTTACAAAATGTTGTTTAAACAGTATTATCAGCTCAAATTAAAATTGCTAGACATTAAGGAGAAACAACTAAAACCGTGGCCCGTGTCACTGAAAGTGCTGATCTGATAGAAACCTTCACTGCTCAATGTCCCTTAGTGAAGAATATTAATCTTTATTTAAAGACCTTCACAAAAACATATATGAGACATTGAATTACATACAACCAAGCAATAATTATAACGGAAAAAGAAAACATCATCCTTTC